GTCATGATACGCTAATTCTAATGCATTAGCTGCTAGGAAACGGTGTGCAGACGCCACGACATGGTCTGAAAGTGGGGACGGACCTTCAGCTGCGGGAATTGGTGACCCCTTTCCTAGAAAACTCATGAGTAATCCACCCCTTGGTTAGCGGATCATCAAGAAATAACCGTAAAAATGGGCAACCAGCAGCTCTTGGGGGTGCTCTGGCTATGGAGTACACATTCTTTATTCCTCTACTCTCCTAATAAACTTGCTTTCTCTTTACTCTGTGGACCCACCCGGAGTTCTTTCTCACACGATCCAAGAACCCTTTCAGACTCCTGAAGGGATCGGGTGATGGGCCCACCTCCGCCTCCCGAAGTGCTGCTGCGATTACAGATGGGACCCGCTGCACCCAGCCGGAATAGACTTTTTCACTCAATTTTTAATTTATTATTATTTTTTGAGACGGAGTCTCACTCTGTTGCCCAGGCTGGAGTGCAGTGGCGCAATCTCGACTCACTGCAATCTCCACCTCCCGGGTTCCAGCGATTCTCCTGCCTCAGACTCCCGAGTGGCTGGGGCTACAGGCGCCGCCACCACGCCCGGCTAATTTTTGTATTTTTAGTAGGGACGGGGTTTCACCGTGTTAGCCAGGATGGTCTCGATCTCCTGACCTCATGATCCGTCCACCTCGAGCTCCCGAGTCCTGGGATTACAGACGTGAGCCACCGTGCCCAGCCCAAGGTTTAATTTCTTAATATCAATTTCAAGCACTGGTTTTAGTAAAAGATATTCATAGGCCAGCTGTGGTGGCTCATGCCTGTGATCCCAGCACTTTGGGAGGCCAAGATGGGCGGTTCATTTGAAGTCGGGAGTTCGAGACTGGCCTGACCAACACAGTGAAACCCCAGCTGTACTGGAAATACAAAAAGTAGCCGGGCATGGTGTCGGGCGCCTGTATTCCCAGCTACTTGGGAGGCTGAGGCAGGAGAATCACTTGAAGCCGGGAGGCGGAGGTTGCAGTGAGCCAAGATCGTGCCACCGCACTCTAGCCTGGGCTACACAGCAAGACTCTGTCTCAAAACAAAAAAAAACAAAAAAAAAACACAAAAAGGGCCAGGCATGGTGGCTCACACCTGTAATCCCAGCACTTTGGGAGGCTGAGGCGGGGGGATCACGAGGTCAGGAGATCGAGACCATCCCGGGTAACACGGTGAAACCCCGTCTCTACTAAAAATAAAAATAAAAACATTAGCCGGGCGTGGTGGTGGGCACCTGCAGTCCCAGCTACTTGGGAGGCTGAGGCAGGAGAATGGCGTGAACCCAGGAGGTGGAGCTTGCAGTGAGCCGAGATCATGCCACTGCCCTCCAGCCTGGGCGACAGAGCAAGACTCTGTCTCAGCAAAAAAGTTACATGTTGTGAAGTTGCCCTCCCAAAAGGTATACAAATGTATGTGCACGCCCTTCCTTTGGGTGTCCGGCCAATTCTCCCCGTGTTCTTCACAGTGGAAATGATGGCTTCTCGGAATTTTGCCAGTGTTACCGGAAAACAGATGGAGGGTCCTTCCCTCTGAAGATTTGCTGAAAAATCGACTTGCAAAAGCAGATGAATGGGAGAAAAGGCATACGACGTTTACTCAATGTATACGTGCATGCTTTCATCTTCTTGGTTTTCTTTTATGTGTTTGCCTTGGGAAAGCATTCTCATTTTTCTTCTCCGGATCTTCTCTAGAATTTCGCTCTGTCGCCCAGGCTGTAGTGCAGGGCACGATCTCCGCTCATTGCAAGCTCCGCCTCCCGGGTTCACGCCATTCTCCTGCCTCAGCCTCCCGAGTAGCTGGGACTACAGGCGTGCATCACCACGCCTGGCTCTCTTTTTGTATTTTTAGTAGACATGGGGTTTCACCGTATCAGCCAGGATGGTCTCAAACTCATGACCTGTTGATCCGCCCACCTCAGCCTCCCAAAGTGCTAGGATGACAGGTGTGAGCCACCGCACCTGACCCTCAATATTGTATTCTTATTCAGGAACAGCCTTTGTTGGTAAGAGGCATTGGATTTTCACTGATGTGTTTTCTGGAACACATATGATGACAGATATCTGTCTTTTAATCTTTGGAATGTGTTAAACATTCTTTTAGGCTTTTTGATCTTTATTTATTTAACATAATTATCATGCTGATATTCAAAATATATCTGAGATGGCTTTGCGAACCCCGAAAACTTGAGACAGGTGTCAGTTAATTTAGAAAGTTTGTTTTGCCGCATTTAAGGACGGGCGCCTGTGACATAGCCTTAGGAAATCCTGATGACATGGGTGCAAGGTCGTTGGGGCAGAGCTTTTGTTGTTGTTGTTGTTTTTGAGACAGTGTCACTCTGTCACCTAGGCTGGAGTGCAGTGGTGCAATCTCAGCTCACTGCAACCTGTGCCTCCCAGGTTCAAGCCATTCTCCTGCCTCAGCCTCCTGAGTAGCTGGGACTACAGGCACATGCTACGATGCCTGGCTAAGTTTTTAATTTTTTTTTTTAGTAGAGACAGGGTTTTGCCATGTTGGCCAGCCTGGTCTCGAACTCCTGACCTTGTGATCTGCCCACCTTGGCCTCCCAAAGTGCTGGGATTACAGGCGTGAGCCACTGCGTCCGGCCACAGCTTGGTTTTATACATTTTAGGGAGACATGAGACATCAATCAATATATGTAAGAACTACTTTGGGGTTGGTGCAGTGGCTCACACCTGTAATCCCAGCACTTTGGGAGGCTGAGGCGGGTGGATCACCTGAGGTCAGGAGATCGAGACCAGCCTGGCCAACATGGTGAAACCCCATCTCCACTAAAAATACAAAAAGTTAGCCGGGCGTGGTGGCAGGCTCCAGTAATCCCAGCTACTCGAGAGGCTGAGGCAGGAGGATGGCTTGAACCCAGGAGGCGGAGGTTGCAGTGAGCCGAGATTGTGCCATTGCACTCCAACCTGGGTAATAAGAGCAAAACTCCATCTCAAATATAAAGAAGAAGTAGAGTCCTTGACAGGTGGGGACAACTGGAAACAGGGAGGGGGCTTCCAGGTCACAGGTAGGTGAGACCCAGATGGTTGCGTTCGTTTGGATTTCTGATGAGCCGTCCCAAAGGAGGGGATCAGATATGCATCTATCTCAGTGAGCACAGGCATGACTTTGAATACAATGAAAGGCAGGTTTGCCTTCAGCAGGTTCCAGCTGGACTTTTCCTTTGAGCTTCCTGATTTTGGAGGGCCAAGATGTTTTCCCTTCACAGCTTCCATCAGGATACACATACCATGTAGTTAATTCAGAAAATTAGGCCGGGTGCGGTGGCTCAGGCCTGTAATCCCAGCACTTTGGGAGACCAAGGTGGGCGGATCACGAGGTCGGGAGATCAAGACCAGCCTGGCTAACACGGTGAAACCCCACCTCTACTAAAAATACAGGAAATTAGCCGGGCGTGGTAGCGGGTGCCTGTAGTCCCAGCTACTCGGGAGGCTGAGGCAGGAGAATGACTTGAACTCAGGAGGCGGAGCTTGCAGTGAGCTGAGATGGTGCCACCACACTCCAGCCTGGGCGACACAGCAAGACTATGTCTCAAAAAAAAATATATAAAAAATAAAAAAGAATATATATCTAAAAGAAGCAATGAACCTTCATCCACCTGGAAATATTGCTACAATAATTGTGTAGCAAATTGATCGCCTCTGGGCATCTTCGGAGCCCAGAGGAAAGGACATCATTGCTCAAATACTTCTCTTTGTCTTATTTAAAAGAACTATGAGGCCACTTCTAAGGCCAATGATCTATTCCTAACATTAAATTCTAAAAGGAGTCTGTAGTGGTTGTGTGCCTTCAACGGACATTATGTAACAACACAGATAACGTCTCTTTAGAAAGTGTTTCTAAGGCATCAAGAGAAAAAGTGGAACATATTTATAGGAGCAAAGCTGGAAACATCCAGTTTTCTCTGTGTCTGATGATTGAGGTTACTGGAGAGAGGGACAGGCACGTTTCTCACTTCCCCACGGTTATCAGATCGATTTTTATCACTGTGTCCTTGATACTAAAACATTTCTCTAAACTGCTTGAACCAAGGTGCAAAAAGTTTAACGCGTGCTTAGTACACTGCAGAGCTTGCAGTAGATGTGAGGGAAATGCTTGATAGCTTGGTAAGTTTGCCAAATTGCTCTTATGGATGTCTTTTATGATTTGAGACTCAAGAAGACCACGTGTGGCCAGGCGCGGTGGCTCATGCTTGTCATCCCAGCACTTTGGGAGGCCAAGGCGGGTGGATCACCCAGGGTCAGGAGTTCAAGACTAGCCTGGCCAGCACGGTGAAACCCCATCTCTACTAAAAATACAAAAAATTAGCCGGGTTTGGTGACGGGAGCCTGTCATCCCAGCTACTCTGGAGGCTGAGACGCGAGATTCGCTTGAACCCGGGAGGCGGAGGTTGTGCCACTGTACTCCAGCCTGGGTGACAGTGAGAATCTGTCTCAAAAAAAAAAAAAAAGACCACGTGGAAAGCCAGGTGCAGTGGCTCCTGCCTGTAATCCCAGCACTTTGGGAGGCTGAAGCAGGTGGATCACTTGAGGTCAGGAGTTTGAGACCAGCCTGGCCAATATGGTAAAACTCCGGTCTTTACTGAAAATACAGAAAATTAGCAGAGTGTGGTGGCAGGTGCCTGTAGTCCCAGCTGCTGGAGAGGCTGAGGCAGGAGAATCGCTTGAACCGGACAGGTGTAGGTTGCAGTGAGCCGAGACTGCACCACTACACTCCAGCCTGGGCGACAGAGTGAGACTCTGTCTCAAAAATAAAATAAATAAAAATTAAAAATTAGTAACATAATTTAACGTGTCTGACCCCAATACAATTAAGGGATGAGTCTGTAATAAGAAGGTGAACTAGAACAATCCGCACGCATTGGAAAACTGGCCAAGAGATGGCATGATCACACATGGGTTCAGGGGAGGTGGCTTCCTGTAGATGTGGCCGCTGGTACACATGCCGCGCGGATGAGGTACTTAGGCAGGAATGCCGTCAGCCTCTTACACCTTCTCCTGCTTGCCCCACAGTGCCTGCTACTCAGCCCACGCAGCGTACGCCCAGAGCAAGCTGGCCCTTGTCCTGTTCACCTACCACCTCCAGCGGCTCCTGGCGGCTGAGGGAAGCCACGTGACCGCCAACGTGGTGGACCCTGGGGTGGTCAACACGGACCTCTACCAGCATGTGTTCTGGGGCACCCGTCTGGTCATGAAGCTTTTCAGCTGGTTGCTTTTCAAGGTAAGCCCCTTCTGCTTCTCTGATTCATGGCTACACGTGAAGATGCTACGGGAAAGGGGTTCCCAATCCAGACCCCAAGGGAGGGCTCTTGGATCTCATGCAAGAAAGAGTTCAGGAGGAGTCTGCGGTGCACAGCGAAAGCAAGTTTAGTAAGAAAGTAGAGGAATAAAGAATGGCTGCTCCGTAGACAGAGCAGCCCTGAGGGTTGCTGGTGGCCCATTTTTATGGTTATTTCTTGATGATACGCTAAACAAGGGATGGATTATTCATGCCTCCCCTTTTTAGACCATACAGGGTAGCTTTCTGATGTTGCCGTGGCATTTGTAAGTGTCATGGTGCTGGTGGGGGTGTAGCAGTGAGGACAACCAGAGGTCACTCTCGTCTCCATTTTGCTTTTTGTGGGTTCTGGCCGACTTCTTTACTGCAGCCTGTTGTATCAGCAAGGTCTTTGTGACCTGCACCTTGTACCAACCTCTTATGTCATCCTGCGACTTGGAATGCCTTCACCGTCTGGGAATGCAGCCCAGGAGGTCTGCGCCTCATTTCACCCTCATTTCACCCAGCCCCTATTCAAGATGGAGTCGCTCTGGTTCACACGCCTCTGACACAGCCACTTCCAGGCCGCGTGTGCGGTGTTGGGGGCTCGCATTCGGTGATGTGTTTGTACATTGTCACCCCAAAGCCTTGGTTGCCTGCGAGCTCGGTGGGTGACGCTGTGTAGCTGTGTAGCGTAGGGAAGGGAAAGGCCAAGGGAAAAACATCCCCCTTTGCCTCTTGAAGGTTTGCTGAAAAATCAACGCCCAAAATACAGCTTCCCTTATTGGAAGATGAATAAAGGAAATGACAGGCAAATGTATTCTCATACATGGAGGAGAATGTCAGAGGAACTGCCCCATCGCAGAAGGGAGTACACGTGCGTCTGTCCTGTTCTTCTTAGGGGAAAGGGAGTGGGGAATTGGGGGGGAATTCAGGGAACAGCAAATGATTTTTAAGGGAAGTCAGTGGGTTTGAACGTGTACAGGGGCCCAAAAACAGATCATGTTTTTTGTTGTTGTTGTTTGTTTGCTTGTTTTTTTTTTTGAGATGGAGTTTCGCGCTTTGTTGCCCAGACTGGAGTGCAGTGGCGCGACCTCTGCCCAGTGCAACCTCCGCCTCCCGGGCTCAAGCGATTCTCCTGCCTCAGCCTCCGAAGTAGCTGGGATTACAGGCGTGAACCCCCACAGCCGGCTGATTCTGTATTTTTAGTAGAGATGGGGTTTCGCCATGTTGGCCAGGCTGGTCTTGAACTCCTGACCTCAGGTGATCTGCCCGCCTTGGCCTCCCAAAGTGCTGGGATGACAGGTGTGAGCCACTGAGCCCGGCCTCAGATAATGGTTTATGACAAGTCTGTCCAGGGACGGAGGCTGTTGAGCCCGCAGAACAGACAGTGGTTGATGATAATTCTCTGCAGGGCTGTTGACAGACGTCAGTCTTTCCTCCTGCGATGTGGGTTCGGAAACTCAGGGAAGGGGCCAGTGGTCATTTTTCTTCTTTGGCGGGTCCGGACTTCAGGGAATTTCAGAGAACAGCTTCATCCTGTGCATCGGGAGACACAGAGGACCCAGGACGGGGAGGTCAGAGAGATCTTGAGGCGTCTTCAGTTCCGCAGGATAAAGCCCCGTACTTTAGGGTATTGGTTTTTAAGATCCAGGAACTGAATGGTCCCACATTTCTGCAATGATCTGTGTTGTTATGATACGTTATCTTCTTCAGCACTGCAGGATTTCATGCCCCAGCCGTTCCCTTGAGTTTTTTTCTTTGTCTGTTTGTTTGAGATAGAGTCTCGCTCTGTCGCCCAGGCTGGAGTGCCATGGTACGATCTTGGCTCACAGCAACCTCCGCCTCCCCGGTTCAAGCAAGTCTCCTGCCTCAGCCTCCTGAGTAGCTGGGACTACAGGTGTGCACCACCACGCCTGGCTAGTTTCTGTATTTTTAGTAAAGACAGGGTTTCACCACGTTGGCCAGGCAGGTCTCGAACTCCTGACCTGCCTCAAGTAATCTGCCCGCCTTGGTCTCCCGAAGTGCTGGGATGACAGAAGTGAGCGACTGTGCCTGTCCCCCTTGAGGTCTTTTGCAGTGATATGTATCTGGGAGCTATAGATGTACTTTCTTTCCTGTCTATCTCAACTTGGGATTCTAAAGTTTTAATAATTTGTTTACAAAACAAAGAAAGAACCTTGAGAAGCTTTTCTGTTTTTCCCATGACCTTGCAGAATCGTCTAATTAGCATTTTGAAAAGCATCTGCTTTTGAAACACTGCCACGATTCGCCTTCAAAACCGCGTGGGTTGAGGAATTTTCAGAAGAGCGATTCTAACTCAGCTTTCAAAATTCCTTGGGCGTCTATTGCTTCGTTGAAGTTTTCCACCTCTCTCTGAGTCAGTTTAGACAGCTTTTCCCTTTAGATAATTGTCTGTTTCGTCAAGTTTTGGAATTAATGCTTGGTTACAAATTTCCTTTTCTCCTTGTTGGACTCCTGGCATTGCTCTTGATTTCATCTGAAAGTCTCTCATGAAATGAGCTGCGCTCCCCCATCGCAGACGTTTTCGGGGGATTAATTCCTTCCCTTATTTTGCAGTTTGCTTTCTTATCAATTGTTCTTCGAATCTCTAATTCCTCAAGCAATGGAATTTCTTTTTTTCTTTTTCCTTTTTTTTTTTTTTTTTTTGAGACAGGGTCTCGCTGTGTCGCGCAGGCTGGCGTGCAGTGGCGTGATCTCAGCTCACTGCAACCTCCGCCTCCCGGGTTCAAGTGATTCTCCTGCCTCAGCCTCCTGAGTAGCTGGGATTACAGGTGCCCACCACCATGCCTGGCTAAGTGTTGTATTTTTAGTAGAGATGGGGTTTCACCATGTTGCCCAGGCTGGTCTCGAACTCCTGACCTCAGGTGATCCGCCCGCCTCGGCCTCCCTTCTTGCTGGGATGACAGTCGTGAGCCACTGCGCCCTACTGTACTGCCCTTATTTTGCAGTTTGCTTTCTTATCCATTGTTCTTCGCATCTCTAGTTCCTCAAGCAAAGGAATTTCAAAATCTTAGTTACTGTATTAAGCACTAAGTTTTTGCTAGCAAGACACCACAATTTGGATCCATTCCATGCTTATAAACCCCCCATGAATCCCTCAGAGTGACTTTGGTATCCAAGGAGAGCATTTGCTGTTTTTCTCTTTTTAAATTTTTTTTTTTTTTTTTTTTGAGACGGAGTCTGGCTCTGTGGCCCAGGCTGGAGTGCAGTGGCACGATCTTGGCTCACTGCAAGCTCTGCCTCCCGGCTTCACGCCATTCTCCTGCCTCAGCTTCCCGAGTAGCTGGGACCACAGGTGCCCACCACCACGCCTGGCTAATTTTTTTTGTGTGTGTGTGTATTTTTAGTAGAGACGGGGTTTCACCGTGTTAGCCAGGATGGTCTCGATCTGTTGACCTCAGGATCTGCCCTCCTCGGCCTCCCAGAGTGCTGGGATTACAGGCATGAGCCACCGCGCCCCGCCTCTTTTAAATTTTTTAGTGAGCAGGTCTTGCTCTGTTACCCTGGCTGCAGTACTTTTTTTTTTTTTTTGGTAGAGACGGCATGTTGCTGTTCGCCCAGGGTGGTCTTGTGCGCTGGGATTATGATAAAATGCCTGGCGGCAGCCTTGAAATCCTGGCCTCAGGTAATTCTCCCACCTCTGCCTCCCAAAGTGCTGAGATGACAGGCATGAGCCACCATGGCTGGCCTTGATCTTTTTTTTTTTTTTCGTAAATATTTAACAAGCAAAGTGGAACTTTAGCCACATGAATCATTCTTTAATCCTTTGATCATCATCTGCAAATTTCGATTAAAAATAACCACGGGGCGTTGCTTGAGTCGCACTGCCTTTGTATAAGAGACAACATTATGGAAACTTTAAAATTCTAGAGTAGAAGAATATGCATTAGCCTGGAAATGAAATTAAAATAATCTAAGAATTTTAAAGAAAAGGCTATGCAGCAGCAGTAGCTAGATGCTGCCTTTGTAATGCTAATTCTGTATTGCTGTGTATGTATTATTTACTAGTGTGTATGCATGCGCGCATTGTATATTAAGACTTGGAAGATCAGTTGGGTGCCGTGTCTCATGCCTGTAATCCCAGCACTTTGGGAGGCCAAGCTGGGCGGATTACTTGAGGTCAAAAGTTCAAGACCAGCCTGGCAAACGTGGTGAAACACCATCTCTATTAAAAAATACAAAACAATGAGCCAAGCATGGTGGTGCGTGCCTGTCATCCCAGCTACTTGGGAGGCTGAGGCAGGAGAATCGCTTGAACCCAGGAGGTGGAGGTTGCAGTGAGCTGAGATTGTACCACTGCACTGCAGCCTGAAACTCCATCTCAAAAAAAAAAGAAAAGAAAAAGACAAACGTTGCAGGACCTGCCCAGTGGTCCCTGGAGAGAATGTGTGTGACGTACATATCTCTGTAAGCTTTCATATCATCTGAGGGCATAGTTGGATGTCACTCTGAAGCCTCTATCCTCTATCTCATTAGAACACATGGACTCGATTCCAGTTTCACAGCCACTCACCTGGGCGACCAGTTACTACCTGAAGAAAAACCAGGAGGTTGGTTGGTTGGTTTTTGAGATGGGATCTCACCTTGTCACCCAGGCTGGAGTGCAGTGTCACAGTGATAGCTCATGGCAGCCTCGACCTGCTGGGCTCCAACAATCACACCACCTCCACCTCCTGAGGAGCTGGGACTACAGGAATGCACCACCACACCTGGCTAATGTTTTAAAGATTTTTCGGTAGAGCCAGGGTGGGTCTTGCTATGTTGCTCAGCCTGGTCTCCAGTTCCTAGCCCCAAGCGATCCTTCTGTTGTGGCCTCCCCAAGCGCTGGGATTATGGTTTGTGCATTTATAAAGACGAGGGTTTGATTTGTCCGGTATACAGATGCATCAGGCCATTCCTCATGCTGAGACATGCAGATGGTCTCAGCCTCGGTAGGAGAG